CCGATATAATACTTGTTGCAGTCCTTACAGTTGATGCGGTAGATCACATTTTTTCGATTTTTGTCCTCCTGTTGCTCCTTATCTTTTTATGAGATTCTCCATAAGGTCTTTGTTGGTTTGTGGGTGGCTTGAATGTTGTGTAGCTTCCGTATGCTCGTGGTTATTTCAGAAAGGTTCGTCACATACGGTAGGGTTATTCTTTAATTCGGTAGTCCATTTGTCTGTGTGTGTTGTTATGTTCGATTTATTGTCCGTCTGACGAAGTTGCGGAATCAGTCGTTGCGAAGGAATACTCGCTACCTCAACTTTTCAGTGCTGCAGTGTGTTTTGACCCTTTCGAAAAGTGTTCGAATGCAACTCTTCTGTTGACAGGTTGGGTGGTATTCTGGTTTATTCCAGGATTTGATCCGTGTGGGTCTTCTTTCTGCTTACTGATGTTTCTAATAGACCGGACAATGATCTTGTTACTAGGACATCTAGGAATGCCAATTCCTCATTTTGTTCTTCCCATGGTCAACTTGAGATCGGAGAAGATATTGTTGATGATGTTGCAAGTTTTGCCCACTTCCGATCTCTTCAGGATCACAAACGTAGCATCTACATATCTAAGCCAGAGTTTGGGATGTAGTGGTAGAATCAACCTTTCGAGTTTTTATATTACGGCTTCAGTAATGAATCCCGAAATTGGTGAGCCCATGGATGTTTCTTTCACCTGTTCGTAGATATCACCGTTGAATTCGAAATGTGTTTGTAGGTATAGATCCAAAAGCCCGCAGATATCTTTGTGACCTAGTGTTCGATGTTCCTGTCGTCCATCTTGAAGCTCCTTTAATGTTTCCTTGGCCAAATCGAGGTTAACAGAGGTGGATAGAGCGGTGACTTAGAAGAATATCATTATTTCATCTGCATCAGGATTAAAATTCTTCAGTTTGTCTGGGAACTGTTTGGCGCTATTCATGCAATGTTCGTAGATGACGAGGGAAGTTTGAGTCTCCTTCATAATACTTTAGCCAGTTTGTAGACTGGTGTACCGGGAAGCGAGACTATTGGTCGTAGCGGAACATTATCCTTGCATATTTTTGGTAGTCCGTAGAGCCGAGCAGTGTCTTAGTCGGTTACTTTCATTCTCCAGTGTTCTTCTTTGCTAACTTGGTGTAGCTGTCCCAGCTGTTTCAGCATTGCGTTGATTTTGCTGCCGAGTTTTGAATGTAGATCTACGTTCATTTTGCGCTAGGTTGTTGTGTCTTGAAGCAATTCGTTTACCTTTCTGATGCAGTATGTTTTATCCAATAACATGGTCGCTCTACCTTTGTTCGTCAGGAGGAGGATGATGCTCTTGTAGGTTCTCGGTGTTTTGATTGCTTTTTCCTCGGTTTTTGAGAGTGCTTTGAACTGTTTGTTTCGGGTCAGAATCGGAACGATTGTTTGCAGTATTCGTTGTTTGGTGTTATCACATAACCCGGTGACCTTTAGGGCATGTTCTAATTCGAAGACAGCCAATAAGGCAACGCCACGTCTCTACATCACTCGACAATCTTTATAAGGAAATGGATTCTCGTACGCGCTCGCCCAGTTACTGCATTGCGAATGTCACCTCGATTAGTGATGAGACGTTTGCCAATACAATTACCAAGCACGGCGAACAACCGAACATCAAGTTATACTAGGTAGAACCAAACCCTGGTGCAGCAATGATTAGCTTTGTCAATCGTGTCCCCAGAACATCTCATTGCTGTGTACGTTGCAGTCAACACGTAGATTAACAAACGCGCACATGGATCGAAGGGAAACTGTTTGTGTATCTGGGCCTGTGCGCCAGAGTTGGGTGCAGGATACGCAGCACTCCACGCTACTGAGCTGTAATCTTTAACCACCGACTGTCTGCAGTAGTGAAACTGACTATCTGATGTACGCGAATTCCTGATGTACCCGGATATGAATTAACTGACAACAGATTACGGGATACTCACGCCTAACGAGTGACCAGAACCGCGAAACCAGTTGTGTGATTCCGCGAAAATTTTATCAAGTCATTCACATATTGTAAAATATTTATGCAATAAGTCTTCACACATTCAAATAATGATTATTATCTAAAATAAACATCAACTCAGCTGCACTTGAATTCAGGCAGAAAAAAATGCATAAAGATCAGATGATAAATTAAACCCAAACAGATAACATTCACAACCAAACACGTACACGGCTTATGAACTAATAAGGCACCGATTCATCTGTTGCATACCACCCACGATAGCTATGTACAACATTTCACACCTACGAGCAGTTTGCATATTTGAAGAAAAAACAAATCCAGTTGCTTGTAGATTCTTCACCCAAATTGAACGGCGGTGTGCGGATCGGGATCATGCATGCATCCTGCGCAAAAAAGTACATTCACGAAGCTTGCAGGCCACCATGTTTACACAGATACAAACTGTGTGGCTCCGAAACCTCATAGCCCCTCTTCCCACGCAACTGTGACAAAGTGGTAATAGGGCACCGATCAGAATGTAACCCCGCGAAAGTATTGAAACCTGTTGGTATGTGATCCAATCGAGCTTACTAGTGGGTGGAAGTTGCTTCCACACGCTTAATGTGGTTGTTATCGTTTGTCGCATGTTTCGGTTTGTGTACAATTTGCTGTTTTTGTTTCAACAGAACAAGAGTAATGAAGTGTTCAATTGAGACTTTCATGAGCTTGAAATCAACAACAGTCACATCTGCAGCTCAGAAATATCTGCCTCCTCATTCGCAAGCTCGGACTTATTAGGCACCTCCTACAAAATCAATCAGTCTTCAAGGTGGGAAACAAAAAGAGTACCGGGATGTTATGCGGTAACGATGGGATTAGAAAACCCCTTTTCCCGAAGACCAAAGATTCACAAAAACGAACGAGTTATCATGACCCAAACAGGGTCATTTGATGAGACATTGTAGAAGACAGATTAGTACCGGTAGCGGGGCTTTTCTATCAAAAGTAACTTAGACTGTGCACCTTATACTGGTTGGATTTGGTTCGCTTCATTCATCCCCTCCCGTTTCGTTTTTTTTTCTTGATCATACCACGCGGGCTTCTTCACCATACTGTGAAATCATAGTGTCCAGCATCAATGAGCTATTGGAATCGATCTCCAAAGAACTGAACAATCCATAAGGGGATGAAAACCGCGTGCAGCGAGGGCGGGGCACAACGCCACATCTTAAGTATTACTTACATTCCAACGAGTATCATTTTTCGGGAAGATAAGTCGGTTTCGGAGGTATCAAAATGATAAAGAAATCCTGGATTAAGAGATAACAGGTAGTTGCTTTAGAATCGTCTTACCCTTTGATTTCAGATCGCAAGTCTAGCACGTGCAAGACAGGATGGTGGTGGTGATGCAGAGGTTTAGTTACTATCACCGGTGTGCTTTGGACTCTATGGTCCGAGGTTCGAGCCCCGCCACTGACACCCACCCACGGTGGTGGGCAGCTCTGCTGTCGTCCGGGTGAATACCAAGCCTAATCTATCGAGGCCTTACGTGGTTCGCCACTCCAAGTCCCCGGGCTTAGGTTGCCGGTTTCCACCACCGAACAGCAGGTCCTCGTGACCATGGGTTTACCCCGTCTGTTGCACATCACATTAAAAGTGCGTAATAAAAATATGGTAGTTTCGGGGAACCTGATAGTCGGCAATTCGACTCATCTGGAAAGCCTTATTTGATAAAAGGAATGTAACAGGGAGTAAGGGTCTCAGTCGTGGAAAGTCAAACTTGACACGCCATAGCAGCGTCGTAAAACTCTTCATCTATGATTTCCTAACGAGCGCGATACTGCCAGGTCACCAAGGCAGATGAATTCTCTTGGGTAATTCACAACCGCAGTCGTCCATTAACTAAGGCCTGACCCGCAAGTCAGCTGAGCGGTGTGTGCGAAAACCGCAATCCATTAGGAACCAGTGTCCAGGTAATAAAATCATACACCCCTCGGACAGCGTCAAGCCATAGGAGATAGTCTGTCGCGTAGAGTCATTTCGGATCCAAAATTATCAGGCACTGTAACCAATCGACCACTGTTCAACGTCTATGTAAGAGCAAATCAGATGGGAAGTAGAATGTCTACGCATGTATTGCATCATAACGTATTGGAATCTACACACAAAATAAAACGAAGTCAAAGTAAGTAAGGATAAAGGAGAAATAACCGGAACGGGCGCTTAGACACTAAGATAGCACCGGTGCATGCATAACGGTAGCGCACAGATTGCAGCAGTATAAGAGAGTGTAGATAAATGAGACCAACCCGACGGAGAAAATACACAGAGAGAAAAACAACAATCCGGAGAGAGAGGAGTTGCGAGAAAGTCATGACCGGGAAAAAGTAATCCTAGGGAACACACTGACTACGATGACGATAGCAATGGAGAGAAAAACAACGAGAGCACGATGCATTGAGAAACAAACAAACAAACAAACAAACAAACACAGTCCTTTTGTGGTTCACAAAACTAAATACAGAGAGAGAGAGAGAGAGAGAAAAGAAAGTGGGTGCGCAGCGTCATCTGTTTTGTGCAAAAATAAGACTAGCTGGGGACGCAAATGACAATACCGAATAGAGAGCATAACTAAAAGAAAAAACGAGAGATAACAAGTAAGATGTGCAAAATCACATTCCATCAAGGTGACAAGAATAAAGTGATTTGGCGAGAAAAACACGGCTTCAGGTGGACGGATAGCTGTGAGGATTGGATCACGATGAATAATATGAAGAGCGATAGTTGGACGGGGCGGTCTTGAGGAGAGGGGGAATGAAGGAATAGGCGCTGGACAAGAGGGCAGACAGGAAGGATCACGTAATTGGGTTACTCTTTACAGCTGCCACAAAGGAACTGGCCATGTGTGGGGGAAATCAAGCTAGGGTCCCCAAAGAAGAACAGTGTTACACATTGCTGCAAAAAAACACGAAAAATAAATGCAATCAGTTCAAACAAACAAACAAAAAGTGGAACAGTCAGACCGTCATGAGGGTTTCGGACTGCTTAGCACAGATTGGGCATTTGGGTCTGATTGCGGCTCTTTTTCGGTCCGTACGCGTTTCATCGGTATATCCATCTGATTTGGACTGGTGCTGGACGGAACCTCTGACCCGCTTACCGCGTGTGTTGAGCCAGGCACCTCGGTGGATGACACGGTCGAGGATACGGTTTCGTCTGTGGCTGTTGAAGCAGACCGGGCGCGTGATTCCAAATGACATGTGCCACAATGATCGCTAGACTCTTCGTAGTACGATTTGAGACGCACGTGCCACGCAATACTAACCACGGCGGACACGGTTTTGAACTGATGGACCACATTACGTGGAATGAAATAGATATCATTGTCTCGCAGCGGTAGTCGTACATAGCGATAACCCTCGGAGTGCAGTTGATTTAGCTCACCATCATCCGCCCAAAACGAGCCGCACTGTGAAATAAGCAATGGAGATCCAGATGAGGAAATGACAACAGCGATGCGGGTTTATCCGTCAAACAATCCACTTGAATCAACAAGGTTGTAAGACGTTCAGGATACGCAAAGAGATAGATCATAAACTTAAGCATCTATGAAATAGATTTACAAAATCTCGTTCTTGGGAGAGACAATGATCAGCTAGCTCCTGTGATTTGCATGTGCGAACACGACTACGGAAAACATGCTCTCCAACTGACCGCATTCCATTTAATGAACGTCTGCTATACGTCTTTGCGTATAACCGAACAGGGAAAAAATATTGGAATAATTAAAGAGTATCCACTGAGATGAGGTATAACACCTAACTATCAATCCGGTGCTTCTGTGCGGAGGTTTTGGTCGTTGTTATCTTTCGATTGTTTATCCGGGTAAACGACTAGAAGGAAGGTTAGAATGTTGAAAGCAGTGAAAAGATTTACATAGGGAATTCGTATACACTGAAGTTGTAAAGGTTCATAAAATCCACGAGGGCCACCGTTTACGGCACTCAATCATGTCGCTCAGTGTCTCTAACCATCCATTACAATCATCCTGCGGCCAACATTGCGAAAGCCTAACGCGACATGTGCATGAACAAATCGCCTGGTCAAGGTTTTCCTTCCCTCATTTCAGATTCTAGATTGACCACCTTTGATAACTGCTCCACCCAATACCTGCCTCCCGCGTTGCGGCAGTCCCCGGCTGATATGTGCAACATGTGCCCCAACCAATGCATTTGTTGCAGTGCGCGGTCGCGACTACCTCAAACTGTGCATCTACCTTCAGTAATACTTGTCCGGTTGCCCCACCGGCCTCGTGTAATGCGGCGTAGACGGCGTTGTCCGGACACCGAAAACCTATCTTCATCCTGTTTTCGTAATGGTCAAGTCTCTGCGTCGTAAAGCAGCATTGGTCGAACTGCTGCGCACATACTCAACCATTCATAGATAGCCCGAGGTCACGACCGTGCCAGAGATGTATCAAGATGGCACAAGTGAAATTGGTGGTGCTGATGGATCGTTGAAATGATGACAAAAATTTCCAGGATTTTTTGATTACCATCAAAAAAACCTGCCGATCGAAATTGTATTAGGACAGGTGTGAATTAGATCGGCAAACGAAGCATTGCAGTTATAAGTGATTAACCGATGGGACCTACCAGGTTTATATCCAAAAGGCACATTAGTGCTCTAACTATCGCACACCTCGTCCTATTTCAGTCGGGCTGACACAGGCTACAAATCTCAAGAGTGCCATTAAGTAAATGTACTATCGAGTAACTGAATAAGAGTGTATTGCGACTGTGGGACAGAGAGAACAATTCGGGTTGAAGCATACGGTACATACATCATCGATAGGAACCCAGGTATAGAAAAATCTGATTATAATCTAAAAACAGTCAAAAAGAATTGGAAACCGTCACTCAAACACATTCTGTGGGCTCATCCTCCTCCACACACAGGGAAATTTTATTTAAACGTTGGCTCACCACCGGAATGATTGCACATGGTAAATAGACAAATTTTTATTTTTATTATGAGTAAGTTACAAAGCTGATGATTATTGAATCCCATAAGATCTGTACACACTGGGTTCACTCACGGGTGCTGGAAAGTAAGGTGGTTCAATGCTCTATTCAGCCGTGACCTGAATGTATCGATGGTTGATGGACAAACAACTTGAGGTGGAAGAGAGTTCCAGGTATTACTAATTCTGAGGCCTACAGTCTACCGTACTCTATTAGAGCAAACGTTTACACGGAGGTCCTCTGAAGTGGCCATCCATGGATATTGTTAGTAGAGTACTACACGAGCGGTTGGGTTAATGTAGTATTTGATATACGAGGATCATGTCTCTTCGTATTCGACGGTATTTAGACGAACAGAGTCCGACAATTTG